GGTTAGAGTGGGCTCAACAACCTGACTTCCTAAGGCTCACCCAGGCCTTCCTGAAGCCTGTTTATTCAGGTGAGTACTGGGAGGGAACATCCAAAGTGTTTTGAAGGATGAAGGCAGACAAGGCGGGAAGAAAAGTCTGAGCAGAGGTAACATGTTAACCATCCCAGAAGAATACTGCTAGAGCCTGAGATAAGATAGGAGTGGGGAGTAATGAGAAATGAAGCTAAAGAAGTAGGTAGGAAGCACATCAGAATGCCAGGCTAAGTGACTTGAACTATATGTTTTAGGAAAGTGAGAAGCCACCAAGGAGACTCTAAATATTTTCTTGTTTTTATTTTCTTGTTGTTACTGTTGTTCTTGTTTTTGTTTTTTCTTTACACTGAAATGATGACTAAATTTTCAGTTTGGAAAATCATTTTGTGTTGGTGGACTGTACAGAGGGGGTTTTGGGGGCGTGGTGAGAGACCAGAACCAGAAAGAGAAGATTGAAGATCACTGCAATAGTCTAAATGAGAGATGACAAAAGCTTGAACCAAGAAATAGCATGAGGATAAAACGGTAGATTAAAAAAAATATTATGTCTATGGCCATGCCACCCTGAACGTGCCTGATCTTGTCTGACCTTGGAAGCTAAGCAGGGTCGGGCCTGGTTACTACTTGGATGGGAGACCATCTAGGAAGACCAGGTGCTGTAGACATTAAAAAAAAAAAAAAACCACGAGCTAGAACTTCACACTCACTACGATGGCTGTAATCAAAAAGACTGACAATAACAAATGTTGGTGAAGATATGGAGAAAATGGAATCCTTGTCCATTGCTAGTAGGAATGTAAAATGGCGCAGATGCTTTGGAAGAGTCAGGCAGTGTCTATGGAAGACAGGTAGTTCCTCAAAAAGTTAAACATACGGTAGCCATATGATCCAGCAATTCTATTCCTAGGTATCTACCCAGGAGAAATGAAAACATTCATCCAGACAAAAACTTGAGCACAAATATTCATAGCAGCATTATTCATAATAGCCAAAGAGAACAACCCAGTGTCCATCAACTGATGAATGGATAAACAAAATATAGTATATCCATTCAATGGAATATTATTTAGCCATAAAAAGGAATGGGAACTTTATTTTTAAAAAAAATTTAAATGCTCTATAAAGGACGTTAAGAGAATGAAAACAGAAACCAGACTTGGAGAAATATTTATAACATACACATCATATAAAGGACTTGTACCTAAAGTTAACAAAGAACACTCAAAACACAACAAGAAAACAATCTAATTTGAAAATGGGCCATAAATCTGAACAGATAGATACTTGCCAAAGAAGCATATGAAAAGATGCTTCACATCGTATGTCATTAGGGAATTTCAAATTAAAACAATGAGACATGATCATGCACCTATTAGAATGGCTGAAATCTAAACAACTGAAAACACCAAATGCAAGCGAGGGTATGGAGCAACATAAATTCTCATTCATTGCTGGCGGGAATGCAAAACAGTACAGCAACTGTAGAGGACAGTCTAGCTCTTTCTTACAAAACTAAGCACACTCTTACAATATCACCCAGCAACCACTCCACTTGGTATTTACCCAAACATGTTAAAAACTATGTCAACGTAGATATTTATAGCAGCTTTATTCATAATTGCCAAAACTTGAAAGCAACCAAGAAGTCCTTCAGTAGGTAAATGTATAAATAAACTGTGGTTCATCCAGACAATGGAATATTATTCAGCACTAAAAGGAAATCATATATCAAGCCATAAGAAGACACAGAAGAACTCTAAATACCCATTACTCAATGAAGGAAGCCAGTCTGAAAAGGCTACATACTGCCTGATTCCAATTACATGACATTCTAGAAAAAGTAAAATAGAAACAGTAAAAAGACCAGTGGTTGCTAAGCTTCTGGGGAAGGAGGGAAGGACTGCACTGAAAAGCCCATGTTCCAACTATTCATGAAAACTATTCTGTATTATACTGCAATGATGGATACACAGCATTATGCTCTTGTCAAAACCCATATAAGTGTACGACACAAAGAGTGAACCTTAATGTAAATTATGAACTTTAGTTAATGATAACGTATTGATACTGGTTTATCAATTGTAACAAATGTACTGCAGCAAAGCAAGGTGTCAGTGGGGAAAACTATGCTCAGGGGAGTGGGAAGACGGGAATATATGGGAACTCTGTACTATCTGCTCAAATTTCTGTAAACCTAAAACTGCTCTAAAAAAAGTAAAGTATTAATTAAACAGAAAACATAAAGAGAGAATGAAGTACACGTCTATGTTACAATGTGCAGGAACTTTGGAAACATTATGCAAATTGAGACAAGCCAGTCACAGAAGACTGCACGCTGTATGATTCCATTTATAGGAAAGGTCCAGAGGAGGCAAATCTATGGAGATGAAGAGTAAGTTAGTGGTTGCCTAGGGCTGGGGGGAGTTAAGGAAAAATGGAGATCGACTGCTAATGGCTATGGGGTTTATTTTTGGAGGTTTAAAACATGTTCTAAAATTTATTATGGCGCTTGTGGTGATGGATGCACAGCTCTGTGAATATGTTAGAAACCATCTGAAATGGATGAACTGTATGGTGTGTGTATACCTCAAAAAAGCTTGAAAAATACTAATGAACTGGAAAATCTCAATAAAATGGATGATTTTCTAAGAAATGTAGCAAGTTGGAATTACAAAGAAGTGAAAAACATGGGAGAAAACTAGGCTATTAAAAAAAGTTTCCTCCAATGATTGTTTTAGTGCCCAGTTTTTCGGCAAGTTTTTTCTAATTTATGAGGAACAGATAATTTCCATGCTCTAAAAGTAGCTCTCAGTGTAAAGGAAAGGAAAGAAATAAGGCCTGTTCATTTTATAAAACTAAAGTTATCCTGTCCACAAAACGTGATCAACACACAAACACACAGAGAAAGAAAACTGAAGACTAATGTCAGTTACGATATAGATGCAAAAATCCTAAATAAAATACCAGCAAACAAAACCTGGCAAGACAAAAAGAATACTACACCATAAGAGGGATTATTCCAGGAGTGGAATTTAATATTAGGAAATCTAGACGTATAGTTTATGACAACGATTAGCTAAAGAAGAAAAACTGCATGAATGACAAAAATTTAGTATCTTAAATTCATTTCAAAAATCTCTCAAGAGGAAAAATATCTATACCAGAATAGAAAACTGGGGATAAAAGTTAAGGGAAAAAAGTTCAGCTTCACTAGTAGTCAAATAAATGTAAATTTTAAAATAAGACACTAATACTTTGCAGTCAAATTGGCAAAAAAAAAAAAAAACCACCTCAGTAATATAAAAAATTCAGACAATCAGGGCATGCCCACATTCTGCCTCTAATATGAAGAATTATTATAGGGCTATTTAGCAATTCCCAGAAGCCTTAAAATGGGCATGCATGTGGAACAATTACACATCTAGGAATTTATTCAAAGGAAGAAAAGATTTTTACAAAGACAGCCACAGAATCCTCATCTCTGCATTGTTTACAGTAGGGAAAAACAGAAATAAAATAAATGTCCAACAGTAGTTAGTCCAAGAAACTGTGGTACTTTCATTCAATGAGATTCTCTGTGAGCACTGAAGATACAGGAGAATAATGAACTTAAAAAGAATGCTCAGAATATATTAAGGAAAAAGCTTATGAAAGAGTATATATATAGAAAAGAAGACCAAATGGTTATAATAAAATATTAATAGTGCTTACCTCTGAGTAGTAAAAATATAGATGACTTTTATGTACTTTCATGTTCTCCTTTTTGTATATCTGTGCTTTCTACATGGTGTATAATAAAGATGTATTACTTTGCTAAAGAAAAATTCAATAAGAGTACCTTTTAATGTTTATACTTTTTAACTTAAAAGTTCCATTTCTATAGATTTATCCTGATGACATATCTACATAAATGTTTATGTGAGGACATATATTATAATTGCAAAAAAGATCAACTAAGTATCTAGCAATAGTAATTGTAAAGTATGACATAGCTATTGCGATAGCTATAGAATATTGGGCAACTATTAAAAATCATGAGGTAGAAGAATATTTAAATACATCAAAAATTCAGTGACAAAGGCAGATTATAAAACATTAACTACCCTACAAAGCTAATTAAAAAAAAAAAAACTATGTAGAAAAAATGGAAAGAAATATACCAAAATGAACATCAACTATGGTTTGCTCCAAGCGAGACCACAGGTGATTTGCTTATTTTCATCTTTCTGCACTTTATACTTTTTTACAATGTACCTAATTTTAAACTCCAGAAAAAACTTAAGTTTGCATTTGAGGAGCAAGGAGAAAGAAAAGGTAGAAAAAAACATAACAGTGAGTACAAACACAGAAAACTCTGGAAACCAATATATCAAGATGTTAAAAATGGTAGATCCTTATTGGTAGGAACATGGGTGAAGGTTACTTTTGCGAGTATGATTTTCTATTTTTTGTTTTCCAAAAAATAAAAAAAAAAAATTAAGACAAAATCAAGTGAGAGAGATATGGATATTTCCCTCATTGGTTCTAGCAAGGTGGGGACCCTGGCCTCCAGGACTGCACATGGGAGCACCACCAGTGAAATAATGCAATGATGCTAGCATCTCCATTCCATTGCATGCTGGGAAGCCCCTTACCCTATACCAACAGCCCCACAATTCAGGGTCATATGCCTCTAGGCCTTCAGAACCTCCAGTCTTGCAGTCTCCAGTCAGAAGGATTTCTCCCCTGCCATGGCCCTCTACTCCAGCTTTTATGCCATCTTCCCCCTGCCTCTAGACTGAGCTACCAGACTGAGCTCTCAAATCTTACCTCTCTACCACAGCACCTTGCATAGAATAGAGAAGGTGTTCAATTAACATTTATGAGGCTCTGAAAGGCAAGCAGGTATGAAACTGTATCTTGATGCCTGACTTGAGACTAGAGAGACAAAGATACCAGCAACCCAGAAGTGTTTCAACCCAGCTCACCGCCTGGCCTCTTCTTGTAGCGTACAGGGCTGCAGTAGTCTCGTGGGTGAAGAGTGCCACCTAGTGGAATCGAGTAGGAATAGGCAGTGATAAAAGCAGGTCAAGATCAAAATGAAATAGTTCAAACAGATCTCCTTCGATATAAAAATATACGTAGCATCAAAATAAGTGGAATAGTGGGGACCAAATGAACTGTCTGTATAAGGACATGTCAGCAATGAAGTCAGTGTAGCATCGACATACAAATTTACCTGTGATGCGTTGTTTGTTTTGTTTCAAAGTGAAAGAACTGCCAAGGGCTTACAAATTAACCCTAACGGTCAAGTATCATAATGCTCAAAGTTTCTGTGGATGCTATGGTATTCCCATAACTTTAAAATCGTCCTACCATTTTCAGCATTATTTCTTACTTAGTGGGGAGATGATAGAATTTGTCATAAAAAGTATGTGAAAGGAGAAACCACCTTTGCTAAAAGTTCATATAAAGAAAAATATGAAAAAATAACTTTTTTCCTTAAAACAAATTAGTCTTTTAAATACTTGCTTGGTGTATCGAGGCACAGATTAGTGTTTTTAGAAAAAAAAGCTTTTAGGAACAGAAACACTTGGGTCAAAATCACATGGTCCTTATATTTTCCCCTTTAAATATAAGCCAAATAGTGGCTGATAACCTGAGCAAGTGAAATTCCTCGATTTCCTCTAATGGCAGAGTAGAATGAGGTCCCATTGCTCAAGCTCACACATAAAAAGCCTGAAAACACGTGTGGACGAAACACCTCAGCCCTGGTTTGTGTCGAGTGATGCCCTCTCTTTCAATGCAATAAACTGGAAATGGTCAGTCTGGACCTGGAGCTTCACGGAACCATACAGACTTCGTGATGCCATGGGTACTATATTATACACAGCTTGCAAAGCCCATTCTGGACAAGCATTTTTGAAAAGCAAGGCACAGGATTTTTTTTTTTTTTTTAGTTGAGCCAGGAGATATCCTCGCCAACATAACCAGAAAGTCTGTGGAACTCAAGAGGTAACACCTTATCTGCTTCTAAACACTAGTAGAATAACAGAGCTCACACTAAAGTAGGGTGACTTCCATAACACCTTTCCTCTACACTTCTGCAAGTTGATGCCTGAACTATCTCTCGCCCTAACTTGCCCTAATTTGGCCAAACCTATACATTTTAGCCATATTAACATTTTTCATTTTTATTTTTATTTTTTTTAGGCGAGGCAACCCTTGATTGACCTCACAGATCACAAAGACCTTGTCAGCTTATAATCCCTTATTTTAAATTTTTTTACGCCTACAGCACCTGGTCTCCCATCCAAGTACTAACCAGGCCAAACCCTGCTTAGCTTCTGAGATCAGATGGGATTGGGCTTGTTCAGGGTGGCATGGCTGTAGATGCCATATTAATATTCTTAAAGTCTAATTCTGGCCATTTCATATTTCTCCTCCAACTCTGTTCAAAAATCTTCAATGCTCCTAAATTGCCTATCAAAAAACAGTTGAAATACTTCAGTATAGTATTCAAGGCCCTCAAAAATGTGGCCTCAACCTAACTTTCCAAACATATTTGACATAATTCTCCCATGATGATGAGCCTGTGCTCCAGCCAAACTAAGTTGCTTACTGTTCAAGTGTATCAATATATATTTTTGCACTTCTCCAGTAGTGGAAAAAAAAAACAAAAACCAGATCACCCCTAAAAGCCAGTAGGACCATTCCCAAGTGCTGTAAATGGCCTGCCCAGAAAAGAAATACCTTCACAAGTACCATCACACAAGACACTGCCTTTGGAAATACAGATCCATGAAGGATGAGTCAAGAGTTTATACCTCTCAGCACCTGACCTTGTTCTGCTACTGACTAGTCCACTGTGAAGTTTTGACATTTCGTTGGTTCTACTTGTTCATTATTTTTTTGTATTATTTTCGTAAAACTCACTGACAACTGCCAAAATGCTATAACTTCAAAAAAAAAGTCAATTTAGATGAATTTTAGAAAAATTTTGCATGGCATTTTGAGATCCTATGAGACATTCTGGAATGTCCCCCAAAATGGAGTTGAGAATCACTGTCTTAGCTAGTATGTTTGCCTCTCTCCATGCTTTGTTGTTTTCACTTATAGAATGAGAACAAATGATGCTCCTACTCTATCTCAAGTCTCTTGTCTTGGATATTATGAGAACAAATGCTGCTTATAAAGAACTTTGTTTTCCCCAGAATAAAGGAGTTACATATAACCCAGATTAAATAATTTAACTATAACTACAAATCCCCCTATGATAGCCAACCAGTTACATATTACCAACAAAATATGAGACACTATCACATTATTTGATAACACAGTTATAAAGTTCTTTTAGGATGCAGAAAAACATTAATGTTACTGAACTTACACTGGGAGACCATGATGCTTGGGAAGGTGTACACTAAACAGCAAAACAGAATTGTCCTTGGGAGGAAATTGGATCTGGAGCCGGCTTTAGCTTCTGTGAACATAGGAATTCCTTCTGAGGTAGGGATGGGAGTTCAGGACGAGGAGAAGATAACGTCTCAATTTCCACTGGGTTCTCTGTTGAAATGTTTCTTTCTGCAGAGAGATTATAAGTGAAGCACTGGGAATAGAGGCTGGAAAACTACAGAGGGCTTCCTTGTCAATAGTATGTTTTGTTTCCACAAAGCCATTTTGTCTGTAATCGTAATTCAGCAAATTCTTTATGACAGAATTCTTTTATTGCAACTGTCTCTAAGAGGTTGGACTTCTCCAAGCAGCAGTCTGTTGGGAATTCTAATATTAGACTATAACTGTAACTGTAAATAAGGGGTCTACAAGTCACCAGAGTCTCAGACCAAAGAGAAGGTTACAGACCATGCAGGCTGCACAAGAAGCCCATCCCAAGTAGATTGGAAGAGTACAAGTCATTCTAAAAGGATTACAGAAAGGAATCCAAGAATTGTAGACCTATCTTAGAGACAGAAAAGGCCTTGAGAGATAATCTGCTATAGCTCTTTTACAGAAAACAAAGGTTTATGCTAATTTAATGTAGGCTTAAAATTAAGAATATATCACTTGGTAACCTCAGCTGAAAATAACTATTGTGAAATAAACAATACATGTGGTACGATTTTACCTAATAAAATTAAGTAAACTTTTAAAAGATTCTATGACTATTTTTGAATATAAAAAAGGTCAGCATAAATTATTTAGTAAACTAATCTGAAAGTACTAACTAGTTCTTCCTGCTTTTTATTTCTTCTTCCCCATTCTGTTGAGTCATTGCTTAGGTCACTAGGTGCCTCCAGCTCTTACTAGAATCACAAATGATTTTGACCTTTCAGCGGAAGAACCATCCCAAAGACCTAAATAAACCCTAGAGGAATGCACTAGGTCTTGGTTTTCCTTAGGACTGTCTTTGTGTACAGAGAAGGGGATCTAGATTAAATCATTTTCAGAACTATCTATACGTACCAACAGAGGTTGCTAGTTTCCCAGGTCAGAAGCTAGGGAAAACTAAACACAGAGCATAGTTCTGGGCTTCTGAAGTCTTCTTCTCGGCTACAGGAGATAAGTTCCAGATCTCCCAAGACTTGGTGTGTTGGCTGTCAGACAAGTATAAGGGAAGGCTATTGCATCTCTGAAAGAGCTCTTCATGCAGAAGCTAAAGGGCCATCTGTCTGGGACATTGAAAAGATTACTGCATTGGATGAAATTTGGGACTCCAAGAACTCTAAAAGGGGAATGAAAGAACAGCAATCACACCAATCCCGGACTGGTTTGCTGCACTTTGAAATTTACAAATGATTTTCTTCTCCATTATTAGTTGATATTCACACAAAACCCTGATGAAGCCAATGTTGTTAGGATGATATGAGAGATAGGAAATTTATGTGCAGAGAGGTCAGTTAGTGTCATGCAGCTGGTGACTAGTAGAGCTAAGATCTAAACACTCCTTTCCCAGTAATACAGGGCCCATGAACAGAAGATAATCTTCTGTTTTCTGTGGCCCTATCACCCTTTCTGGAGAGCTTCCAGGATAGAGACCTTGCAGAAGACACAATCTAATCTTCTCTTGAAACTTTCTGCACAGCTGTGGAATATGCAGTCAGGGGTGTCCGTGGCGCTGTGGCAGAAAGCATGAGAATCAGCGGAGTAAATTCTACTCTCAAGGGAGTTCCTATTCCTTTTTAGACTTCCTCAGCTCTCTAATGAGGGACAGTGCTCCTGGATTTATTCTGAGTGCCTATGTCAGAGTCCTTGAGAAGTAAACAGAGGATTATTTGTGTTTTACTAGAACAACTAACATACTGAGAGGAAATAATTTTGAGCAGGCCTCATAATGACCAGAAGGTAATAGCACTTCATTCAGACCCTAAAAGTGCAGAAGTTAGGGCTGCCATCTATCTTTGAAGTGACTATGAACAACTAGTTTTCTAACCTAATTAATCTGGTACTAATTTAAGTAATTCCTTACTTTTTCTACCCTAAAACCGAGATCAGGGAAATGATGCAATAATGTAATTCAGTCTCAGCCACATTTGTTCACCTTTGAGAGTCTTTTGTCTTGAAGAGCAGTGATGAAATCTACCTGAAAATGAATATCCTAAAATGTCTCCCCTCAGCAATTTCTCCAGTTCATGAAGAAGAGATTTTAGTTTGCAAATACTTAGTGTGTAGGTGGCCTTCTGATTATGAATGTGATGGAGTAGTAGCTTGTAGCAGACTAATATTTCTACTGAGAACAACTAGGAAAGCCAGATAAATGTTTAAAACATCTGTTTGAAGACACAGGAGCAATGATGAGGCAAGAAGACTTCGGGAAAGAGAGGTGATAATACTCTGCAGTCATTTTTTTCATCAAGACATTTGCTGATTCTGCACATGAGACAAATGGGCAGGGATATGAGTAAGGGCCTGGACTGAGGGCCTCTACTAAGAGGAGAGAAACCAGCAGAGCTTTGGATCATCTTTTGAGGATGGAGAAAAAATATTTGAAGCTTGAAAATCCAGGATTCTGGTGAGAAGAAGGGGAGAAACTGATAGTATTTCCCTCAAGATATTTACTGAATTTTGAAACTGCATTAACCAAAAAAACCTAAGAAAATGACTGTCAAACTAGAATTTTATACCTAGCAAAAATTACCTTTCAAAAAAAGAAGGATAAGATTTTAGGGAAAAAGTGGCAACGCTGGCATTATAGTTTTTGAATCTCCTCAAATCACCCACTTAAGACAGAGAGAGTGCTAGAACGGCAAAACAAACAACATCTGCAACAATACTAGGTGAAAAAGTATCACAATGAAACCCAGAATATGACTAGGTAGAGATAATTCATTAATATCTACAAGACAGTATAGTATCGGCATCATTTGGGAGGAAGCAGAAGGAATAAATAGGGACGTCTGAAATACCTGAAAATAGAAGTACCGCAAAATAGTCAACATATACTTACTGCAAAGCACAGCAGAACATTTTAAGAACAACAGTCCCAAGAAGGAAGAGTCCTGCATATTCCAATGTTTGAGTAAGTATGAGAGGTCTGAAGGGCTGAGCTGCCTGGGCTCGAGCAAATAAAAAAATTCATCAACCATGATGAGAGACAGCTTCCAGTCTGGGATGCAGTATGCTGGAAGAAACACCATCCCCATAGTTAAGACAAAAAACAAGCCAGACTAACTTCAAATTCATGAAAATTTTCTAATGCACTGAGGTTGCAAAGCAGCAAATTTGCCCCAAATCTGAGGATACAGTCCCTGCAGGAGGGAGAAGATATGAACACTCACTTATCTGGGGTAAGCTTACTGAAAACTAAGAAGAGTTCAGCTAGAAAGATCAATGAATTGGTGATATGTGGATGGCAGGACAGTGTGACGCCTCTGAGGGCCTCGGAAACTGGGGAAATCTACATTCTTTTGCAGACTCTTTCTCCATGAACCCTGCTGGGTGCTTTCAGAAAAGATCAGAGAGAGCCCTAAGAATGGACCACTGAGATGCAGACTTTGGAGAGAGGAACACTAGCCATATGGAAGGGATAAGATTCTCTACCCCATGCATTTCCCCCATCTCCCCTAGAAGGGAAAAATGTCTTACTCTGTGGGGGAAAGAACAACAAACTCTGTCATCTCTAGGGCACTGGAGGAAACTCACTGCAGCTAGGAGAAGGAAACAGAAAAAATAACTATTTTGGAGGGAAGGTCAGAAATATGTAGTGGGCCCAGAACTACACAAGGGAAGAGACAAAAGACTTGAGACTGCCATACTCCTTGAGACCAAAGAACATAGTACCTAAGACCAAGGATTAAGCGAAACAATGGAAAATGCCCTCCTCCCAATATCCCACATCGCTAAGCGAATGAATTCAAGCAACTAGTAACAGCAGGATTCTATGGGCGGGGCGGAGCGGGGGTCTCGGAACAGAAGAGGAAGAAGAGCATGCAAAGAGATGATCTGAGGCACACTGTAAGGAAAAACCTAAAGCTCAGTGTTTAAAGACATTGCTAGGGAAGACCAACTCTCA